TTTAGTACAGGGTCTACAGGGTCTCACCACACAGATTAGACTTATAGTGATCCTCCAGTTTTCAGCCTCCCAAGCACTGGGATTACAGGTGTGTGCCACCACGCCCAGTCTCAGTTGAAGTCTCAGTGTGCTGAGGGGGTGGGACCAGCATGGCATGAAAGGGATCGAACCCTGGTTGCTGTGTCTGTCTAAGCAGGTGCTTTAGTCTGCTAAGCCATCTGGCCAGCCCTGTATATCAATTTTAAAGAGATAGGTGATATATTTTTAAAGACTAAGAGGAATGAGGTGAAAATATTTTACATGGAAGGTGGGTATGGTGGCAGGTGCCTATAAGGCTGAGGCTGGAGGATCATTGCCAAGTCTGAGACCAGCCTGGGCTACAATGTGAGTTCAAGGCCAGCCTGTGCTGTTTAGTGATACACTGTCTCAAAAAGACAAAATATTGACAGATGGATGGTTGTATCATGCATGATTTTTTGTCTTTCATCAGGAAAAGGGCATGACTCACACAGAGGCACACACACACCTTGTTTAATATGAAATTCATCCTTTTTCCTCCTTTTCCCTGTATCCCAAGCCTACTTAAGTGTGCCACCATCTCTCCACCATCCATAACAGAAGCTTAGGAGACGTGCTGGCTGTCCCAGCCTCTTCTGGGGGTGAGTATATTTAAATCTCCAGCTTTTTGCCAGCTGTGCCATCTCTGAGCAGGCCCTGCAGGTCCACCCCCTCCAGGGGAGCCCAGAGGCTGGCCAGCCTGACCCACCCACCCAGGGCTGGCTCGGCTCACCCTTGGTATGCAGGAAGTCGAGAGCAGCAGCAACATCTCGCACCACTCGGCTGGCTTCTCGTTCATTGAAATGCTTCTGTCTTTGGATGTGGGCTAGGATGGAGCCTGCGGAGCAGAGGGGACAAAGGAGGTTCAGCTTTCCAGCTCAGGTAAGCACGACTTCTTAAAGGCCAAGTTTTCACAAGTTGGAGGTGGAGACATAGGCTGCCTCCACGCTAAATGTGAGCCCCAAGTGTGCTGCCTGCCACACAGAAGGAACCAGCATATGTCTGCTGAATAAACTCAGACTGCTACTTTCTATGCCTATGAGGAGCTCAGAGGCGGCAAAGAACATTTATATGGCAAAAACATTAGTGCTACTAGGAATTACTTGGCTTCTGAAATCAAAAGGAACTAGGAGTGAATGCACATGGGACTCAGAGGACTTAGAGCCATTTGCTTCTCTGCATTTAAACTTAGATCCAAGCAAGAGCACAAGCCTTCCAATGGAAATTCCATATCCCCTCTAGATGAACAAAGTGGGAAGCTGCTTTATCTCCTGAAGTGTTCCCCATGTCGTTATTATTTTGTTGGGAACAGCTAACATTTATTGATTAGTTTACTATGTGCCAGGCAATATGCAGTGCTCTTTAAATAAATTATTTTATTCTCACAAAGGTACAAAATGGGTAGTATAGTGGTCCTTATTTTATAAGAACCTTATGCTAAAAATGGTTGCGTAATTGCCCCAGACATGACACCATTAAGTTGTGGGGTCAAGATTTTTAGGTATAACACATCTGGCCCCCAAACCAGTGCAGACTTCTTAGCTGAACTTGCGTTCCACCTGCCAGAGGACTGGACCTTGGGAGGAATGACTCAAGTCAGGTGTTCCCTCTTTATCCCTTGGGTCTGGCTTCAGTGGAGCTACACTCTAAATGTTATGGCGACAGAGGACCCAGCTGCTGTCGCATTCCAGACATGTAATTCTGAGTCCTGGTGTGCAGCGGCAGGCTGGGGTCAGACATGCACACAATATCCAGTTTGGCTTCACAGGGTTCATACAGACTACGGAGAGCCAGAGTTTCTGGGAAGAAGGTGTCATTTCTGTGTCCTGAAAGTAGCCCATGCTTGTTATTTGTTTGTTTGTTTACTTTTGCTATGGAGAGGGAATGAGAGAAGGCAGGGGAGAACTACTAAAGATCTCTCACCTGATTAAACAAAGGATCCCAGCATGGTAGGGAACATTTTCAGAAAACCATCTCCTGGTTCTCCTCTAGTTTGCCCTGCCACAGGGAGCCTCTTGTTTCTAAATTTGTTAAAAGGGAATAGTAACTTTTAACCATTAGCTGGCAGCCCACCTTCCCGTTGTTTTAATAATATTTATTAGCAGCCAATACCGAGCTCTAGTGCGTACCAGACATGCAGCTCAGCATTTCATAGCAACTAGTTTAGTCTTCACAGCAACCTCATGAAGTAGGTGCCGTCAACGTCCTGACCCTACAGATGAAAATACTGTCTGGAAAAGGAAAAGACACCTGCTGAAGGTCACAAGGCTGGTAAGTAAAGGAGCCAGACGAAAGCTTAGCGTGCTCCCTTGACCACTGAGCCCCTTGCACACCCTTCCACTCAGCTCTGTGTATCCCTGCATCTCATAACTTCACCTTGCATATGGGTCTTCAGGTCAGGAGAGGTTAGGGAGTAAGCAGCACCCCTGTCTCATGTCAGAAGGGCGACCTGAACACGCATCCCAGTGACATCCACACGGGCAAGTGTAGCATCCTTCCACTTGAAGGGTGGCACATTTGCGCCCTCCCCTCTATCCTGGGTCTGTCCCAAATAATGGGGTCCTCTTCTTTGTTCAGACTTTCTGGACTTAATAATGTCAATTTTTT